ATTAATGTAAAAACATTCAGTGTCTGCAGCACCAGTGTGACCTGTACAGAATATTAATGTAAAAACATTCAGTGTCTGCAGCACCAGTGTGACCTGTACAGAATATTAATGTAAAAACATTCAGTGTCTGCAGCACCAGTGTGACCTGTACAGAATATTAATGTAAAAACATTCAGTGTCTGCAGCACCAGTGTGACCTGTACAGAATATTAATGTAAAAACATTCAGTGTCTGCAGCATCAGTGTGACCTGTACAGAGCATTAATGTAAAAACATTCAGTGTCTGCAGCATCAGTTTGACCAATACAGAACATTAATGTAAAAACATTCACTGTCTGCAGCATCAGTGCTATAAAAGTTAACAGTTAACATACAGCCCTGGTATGATATGTATTGTTTTTACTGGAGGGAAAATAGGAAAATAATAAAATTGACTATGTTTACGAAATTACAGTGTTTACAAAACTGACAAAAATATGTTTTCTATGTGCTTGTGTACAAATGATTGTTTTTTCTATATGGTTTTCTCAAAAAAAGTACATTCCTCTCCTTGTTTCCGTTTCCTGTCTAATCTCTCTCCTATGTTGCTGGCTCATTAATTTTAAACATACGATTACCATGCTGGGCAGAAATGCAAATTTAAAAAGTACTAGTATCTATTAAGTTCAGGATATCTCTAGTCTAAAAAGTTACTAGTAATTAAAAAATAAGTACTAGTTCTATTTTTTCTCAACAAGAAGAGTATAATTAAATACAAGTCACTATTGGAATAACAGTATCTAAAAAATAGGTACTAGTACCATGAAAATAGATACTAGTAAGGCTTATAGATTAAATGTTAAAACGGCTTGCCATATAGAAGTCAATGGCAAAAATGTAAAATTTGTTACTAGTAGCAATATAAAAGTTACTAGTCACTATTGAAATAAGTACTAGTATTTAATCAATAAGTACTAGTATCTAATGAATAAGTACTAGTACCTAACAAATAAGTACTAGTACCTAATAAATAAGCACTAGTATCTAATCAATAAGTACAAGTATCTAATGATTAAGTACTAGTATCTAATGAATAAATACTAGTATC